AATGAACAATTGCATAAATCACTCCTCGAACAGTGAGGGGGTCCATACCTGGCTCAAGACGTTGTTGATCAACACCTCGCAATTGTAACTCAAACCGCTCGGAGTAAGATCTCTTAGTGTTTTTTCTTGCTCGCTTACCAAATTGAAAGCAAAAGTACCATTAGAAGCCACGAAACCACGATACTCGTGTTTACACGAGCTGTTTCTAAAACCGCTAGCACACGGCCCCAGCCTTGCAGAAAGTTTTGTCGCCGCAAGCAAAACTCGGACACGCTGTGCAGCCAGGGGCGCCGTTGAAAAAAAAGATCGGCGGCCTCCGAAGTGGTGAGGGTTTCATGCTGACACCCGTGGTCCGATGTGTGATGTACTGGTGCTTTAAGAGGACGACATCCATCAGGCGGCATTGTCTATTGGTTAGAATAAGACCTCCTCCCTTCTTCACCCAATTACAACGGAAGGTCATTATTGCTGTATTTAGAATGAAAGATACCCCAAATACATACGGCTATAATGACCATACGGGTCACAAAGGTAGAGTTATAAACCACGAAGGCCAAAGGCTTTCCATACCTTTCCCACTTTGGTTTTGGAAATAATTGCTGATCGAGAACGGGCCTGGTCAGGATTGGAAATGCCCCCACACTAACGTCTTCCCCGAACACAACGCCCCCTTGTTTTGGCTGCACCTGACCAGAAAGATAGCTTGCATACATTCATTATGAGGGTGCACTGTGTTGGGGTGAAGATGGTGGCCTGGTCAGGTTTAGAAATCCCGCTCACACTACCATCTTCCATCGAACACAACACGCCCTCATTTTGGCTGCACCTGCCCGGAAAGATTGCGTTTATACATTCGTTATGACGGTGCATTGCCTTACTAGGGGGAAGACCGCAGCCCTGTCAGGATTTACCTGCAGAGTAATTGGCATCACCAGGGTGCCTGGGCCATCTTATGCCCTCAGAACAATGGGGGCATGTATATCATGCCCAAATCAAAAGATTGTCACTTTGTCTCACATGTGTGACTTGTGTCTCATCTGTGTGACTTGCTGACTTGTGAAGCTACTACCTGAATTTCCCCATGAGTCCATGACGGTCCTCTCTGAGAAGAGCGGGTAAATTTTGTAGTAGTTCTTTTCTTTTTTCTTTTGGTTCTCCGGCGGGGCTGATGGCAGATGTGCAGTAGCCCTAAATTGGTAGGGCGCCTGCGTTCTACAGGTTCCTGTGTCGCAAGACAGGCTGCGGGTTCGAGTCCTGGCTGGCTCGAATGAGTGCCCGCAATCGAAATCCGCCATACTGGACTCCAGCGCATTGGCATCCCTGGCTGAATAACCCACGGGGGACGGTCGCAACGCTGTGTAGATGTCGTATGGGGGGCCCGCCCATCAAGCGTCCTGCTGGCTGTGCTTACAACATACACAGTTGGGGGAGGAAGGGGGAGAGGGTCTCTGAGGGACTGAGTACAATTGGAAGTCTCCCGCCTTGGAATGCCCCCCCCCGTCTGCCCTGGGTGTGTCTTGGAAGTGCGATTATAGCACTGACCGCCAGGGTAGGGTAAAAAAAAAAAGGAAAGGGTTGGGCCTGCCTATACCTCAGCCTGCACAACCTTTCTTAAATAAAAAAAGTAGAATTGGGCTGATGATGTTTCCCAGAATAGAAAGAGACACGCCTGTCAGGTCAGGTTCACCGGATATGTTTTAGCGAAAAGAGACGTGCACAGACTGCATGCAGGGGGTCAGGGCCATGATCTGTTCCTTTGGGGGGAACATGTCCAGGTACATCCTGACAAGAGGGGACGCAGGCATTCAAGACAGCTGTAGGGGACACAGTGCTCCTCGCTGATTTCTTTCCCTTTTCTTTTCTGTTCGAGAAATGGTCCCTCTCTCACTGTTATATCCATCAGGATTTGAACCCCTGACCTGTTCACCAACAGCATTGTTTTTTTTGTTTTTTTTTTGGTATGTGTGTAACATTGTGCGTACCATTATTTATTTATTTATTTATTTATTTTTCACTCGAGTCTTACTCCTCAGGACAGCCCGTCCACGAGAGAACACAGACGCTGCACACAGTTGTGGCTGCTACGGGGTTCCCCCTATGACTATAATTAGGAGTAGTGTAGGTAGGTAGGTAGTGTGAGGTGAAATTGAGAGAAGAATGTAGCTTACTTAAAATAAAATAAAAATAAAAATAAAATAAAAAGAGCCTGTCCACCCTCCTTTTGTCAATTTTCTCTGGCGAACCCCCACTCCGCAAGGACTTACCTCTTTTTTTTTTTTTTTTGGGAAACAAGGGCGGGCGCAGCAGGTTTTGAGTTCGACAAGGAAAAAAAAGAAATGCCCCCGCAAAGATATCACGGCATGAGTTTGAAACGGCAATTATTTTGGTAGAAAAGAACCTGCTGGGCTTTTTTCTTTGTTTTTTTTCCCGTCTCACACCACAGCCGAAGTTAAGACACCCAGCCTGACACCATGGCCTTTGGTACTTTCATTGCTTTTTCGAACTCGGCGCCTGTTTTCTTTGTCGGCGCATGTTTTTTTATCTCATTCGATACTCAAAGTGACATCACCGTACTTGCCCCTTTTTTCTTCGCCTTTTTTTCTTTTCTTATTTTCTTTTTTACGGCACTTTGGCCAGCCCTCATGTCTACCACTGAGTACAATCACCTCTCTACCTCTTGGTGGCGGGAATGACCTGACTGGTCACCGGTCCCAGGCACCAGCTCTGAGCGGGATATCTCATTCACCCCTGGGGCTAGGTCCCACTAGCAAAGTAGATCGAATTAAGAACCTGAATCTGGATAGGTTCTTAGCGGAGATGCAGAAAAGCAGTTCAATCATGGTTTTCTGCATCTGTCCTCGTACACGTCCAGATTCAGGCGTGAAGTCTAATCCTCTGTGCGATGGGACCTCGGCACCACCTCGCCCCTGGTTGAAGCAAAATGCGTGTACCAGTCAACCACAAGGTCCCTTTCTTTTTTTCTTTTTCTTTCTGCAAGTACATTTCCTTTTTTTTTTTTTTTGGTCAGTCCTTTTCATTATTCGGAGAGGACAAGTGAATTTCCAGATGGCCATTCTACCAATGTACCATTTTTTTTTTTGGTTTCTTTTTTTCAATTAAAATGAATTCAATATATGCTGGGAAACACGCCCAGTTGTAAATTGTGCAAAACAGAAGTGCATATTGTTGTTAATTGCACAATAAAGAAAAACTTAAAAAAAGGCAAAACAGTTTCTCACAGCCCCCCCCCCCCAAAAAAAAAAAAAAAAAAAAATTTCTCACAGCCCCCTATATAGTCAAACAGAGCTGACCGGTAAACCGTAGGCAGAGAGGGAGAAGAGGACAACAAACGAGGGGCTGTGGATATATATATATTATTATATTCTGTTTGACGATATATACACACACACCACCAAAAATACCATAAAGAATGACAAATTACTTTTATGATTTCTTTATTTTTATTGTGAAAAAAAACTTCGACCATATCAGTTGAATTTTGAATAATTTTATTAAGAATTACAGATGATGTATTCTGCACAATGTACACGACTTCGAGGGTTCTGGAGGGTTTTTCAATCAATTGGAACTCTTTTTTTTTTTTTTTTTGAAGCCCATTTTTATGTACAAACTCATTTTCAACACTTCGAAAGCCGATAACTAAAAAAATCAGGCCTGCAAGAATTCCCAGTTTGCGAGCATTACACTTACCATTTTTGTTTTATTTACCTAGGCTACGAGTCAGGCCGGCCGGGTCACCCTGTTTTCCCGGGCGGTCCGGCCGTGCAAGGACCAGGGAAGACCTCAGCACCAAATAAAAAAAAAAAAAGAAGTTAACAAAACTGAAAAACACCAAAAAAAAAAAAAAAAGAAGTTATGCAGAAAAATAAAGTGAACAACGTTTGCCTCAGGGTCACATCGAAATTCTTTACCAAATTTAAAATAAAAATAGAAATATATATATCTATATACATAGGGTATAGGGTATAGGGTTTAGGGTTTAGGGTTTTGGCCCGGCTGGGCAAGTGGTCCCAGGCCACTCTGGTAGCCTAGTTATTTACTCTTTTATTTGTTAATAATCTAGGCTACCAGAGTGGCCCGGGTCCACTTGCCCAGCCGGGCTAAAAATAAATAAATAAATAAAAATTATTTTTTAACTTAAAATTTTAATTTATTTTTTATTTAAATTTGGTAAAGAATTTCGATGTGAGATGAGGCAAAAGTTGTTCAGCTTATTTTTCTGCATAACATAGTTTGTTTTTGGATTTCTTGGATATTTGTGTTTTTTATTTTATTTTTTTCGCTGGGACCTTCCCTAGTTCTTGCACGGCCCGGCCGCCCGGGAAAATAGGGCGACCCGGGCGGCCCAGCTGGTAGCCTAGTTAATAATAAATTATCAATTTATTACTTACATATCTTTTCTTTCCTTTAAAAAAAAAAAAGCATTACACTTACCATTTTCTTATCGTCATGGCCAACGAGAACTTTGGCTTGGGTGTCTCATAGCCATCCGAATGTTGCCGAGACTTCGAACGACGTTTCAGAAACGGAATTCTGCAATCACCATCAGCATAAACATCATCATCCAAGTGCACCCAAGTCAACTCCCTTAAGCATTGAAAAACATGCCTACAGTCTGACAAAGTCTCTCCCTCTCTCTCTCTCTCTCTCTCTCTCTCTCTCTCTCTCTCTCTCTCTCTCTCTCTCTCTCTCTCTCTCATGCACACACACACAGAAGAGGCACTGCATGCACCAATATCCACCCGCGCACCGTAAATTATGATGATGTGGTCAATAACAATAAACATCAATTTGGGTCTGTATTCACACAAGTCCTTCACAGAAATCTTTCGTATGGGTCGTAGTCCCGGGAGAGGGACAAACGATCAGGGAACGAAGAAACTAAAACAAATGAAGAACGAGAAGAAGAGGGGAAGGACGAGACTGGTGAAGGAGGAACGCAAGAAGAAGAACGTAAGCATACTAAGCAATGACCAAATTGCCCTTCGCAGGCAATAAGTAATGGCCAAATTGTTCTTTGCACGCAATCGAAGTAAGTTTCTTGCAATCTCTTACAAGCATGTACACTCACGAAGAAGAAGAATAGTGATAAGCAGTGACCATAGCTGCTTTCTGCACTTGCATCTCTTGCAACAGAAGAAGAAGAAGAAGAAGAAGAAGAAGAAGAAGAAGAAGAAGAATGATAGCCAGTGACCATAGCTGCTTTACGCACATGCATCTCTTGCAGCAGCAGAAGAAGAAGAAAAAGACAAGAACGGAAGAAGAAGAAGAAGAAGAAGAAGAAGAAGAAGAAGAAGAAGAAGAAGAAGAAGAAGAAGAAGAAGACCGATAGGCAGTGGGCCAGTGGCCATAGCTGCTTTCTGCGCATGCATCTCTTGCAATAGAGGAAGAAGAAGACGAAGAAGAAGAAGAAGAAGAAGAAGAAGACCGATAGGCAGTGGCCATAGCTGCTTTCTGCACATGCATCTCTTGCAATAGAAGAAGAAGAAGAAGAAGAAGAAGAAGAAGAAGAAGAAGAAGAACTTGCTAGTACCTTGCGAGTTTACTTTTCTTGGGGATGTTCTCTTTATCCTCTAGTAATGTGCACTCGTCGGACTTGTCTCCCACATCGTCGCCCTCCTTCTCCTCCAACGCCATCGCTGTGTCCAATCTACTAGGTGGTTTGTTATGTGCCGTGGATTCTTGAAGCACCCTAGATTCTGCCGAACCACAGCCCATCCTTGGTTCCTCCGCCGCTGAGTCACTTGCTTTCCGTATGTCCTCCGAGTGGAGCAAGCTCCCTATATTTTCCGTCTCTGCGTAAAACGTGCTCCGTTTCAAATCTTTGTAAGTCGGTTTTTTCTTGAGGCCGTTGAAAGAGCCGTGATACCCATTTCCTCCGGAGATCAACATTTCCACCATAATAGACGGTCGAGATGGTCTATACGTGCAACCCATGCTATAGGTGGTGGTCCCCACCTATCGATAGCCTCTTTTTTTTCAACTTGGCAAGAAAACTTGATATAGGCAGCCTCTCAGTCCAAAACCTTGATACTAATCAACCAACCAATCAATCAATCGGTCAAAACATTCTCCTGAGGCAATCACTTTAGAGTACCGCGCCGCTAGATACTATGTCCTATTGTACCAGGTAGCAGTTTTTTTCTAGCGGGATTTGAACACTCGAGCTGTTTCTCAGGAGTTTCTATAATCCCTCACAACCAATGCGTGCACCTTCTGCCACAGGCAGACTGCTTAACGCATGCTTCCACTCAGACTTTCTCTGAAGGAGACTGAGTGCAACGTACCAGAGAGAACAAGAGATCGCGACCGGCCAATCAGATGCGAGCAGTATGGAGGATACTGCTCAGCAGGATTTCAACCCTTGACCTGTTTATCAGGAGCTTACGCGACAGTGTACACACACTCCCCACACAGGCAGGCAGCTGCTTTACAGCTGGTTCCAGTCAGATTCCTCCTAAGACCCGAAATCTAACTTAAGAAATTAAGACCCAAAAAAATCAGACTTAAGAATTTAAGACCCAAAAAAATCAGACTTAAGAACTTAGTAAGGCCCGAAAAAAAAATCAGACTTGAGAAGTTAACTTAGTAAAAGACCTGAAATCAGACGTAAGAGTTTATCTTAGCAAGACCCGAAATCAGACCTACTAATTTAGTAAGACCCGAAATCAGACTTACTAATTTAGTTACTTTTAGTAAGACCCGAAATCAGACGGACTTACTAACTTAGTAAGACCCCAAAAAAATCCGACTTGAGAAATTAACTTAATAAGACCCCAAAAAAATCCGACTTAAGAGCTTAACTTAGTAAGGACCCCCAAAAAATCCGACTTGAGAAATTAACTTAATACAACCAAAAAAATCCGACTTATTAAGAGCTTAACTTAGCAAGACCCCAAAAAATCAGATCTCAAAAACTTAATAAGCCCCGAAATCTGACTTCAAGAGCTGAATTTCGTAAGACCGGAAATAGACCCGAAATCCGACTTCAAGAGCTTAACTTAGTAACCCTCAAAATCAGATTTGCGACCTCACATCAGACCCAAAATCCGTAAGACCCTTAAGTCTGAGTTCACCGCTTATCTTAGTTACGACACCTGAAATCAGACTTAAGACCCTTTAATTTAGAAAGACCCCAAAAAAGGCTCAGGAAATTAAGAGGGCTTGAAAAAATCAGACTTAGGAAATTGAGAAGACCCCAAGTCGGACTTAAGTTCTTAGCTTAGATCCAAAAGCCAGACTGAACAAGTTATGGAGAGTCATTGGAGACCCGAAATCACAGGTGGGAAGAACTCAGTAGAACCGAAATCCGACCAAAGTCAAACTTAATAACTTGGTAAAAAGTTACTAAAACCGAAATCAGGTAGTTGCCGTCGGACTTGGTAAAAGTAAAAAAAAAAAAAAAATTGGTGCGTGAAATCAAATCAGGCTTCAGATTCTGAACGTAAAAAGAGTCCACCTGAGCGGTGGAGCGGAAGAGAAGCGAAGTCAGGAACGCGTCTGACTCGTTCAGAAACACGTAACCAAACATGCAAAATCATGCACGAAAAGCGCAATACACGTGTGTGTGAAAAGAATCTTGAAACAAGTGGTCTTCACAAGATGACGTAGTCACGGAGAATACTGAAACAAATGCAGAGCGAGTCACGCTCATACTCACACCTCACACTAGGACTTTTTTTTACTTAATTTTCTGACATAATTGCAGCCAGATACATCCTCGTCTGCCTGTAAATGAGGTCAGATATATTTACGATAGTGCTAGTGTGAGTACGGCCTGAGGGTGCGGAGCAAACTGAGACCAAACAAAGTCAGTATCGCGTCGACTCGTTCACAAGTGGTCTTCAGAAGAGAACGGTGAACCACAAGACCAGTCATAGCCAAAAGCAGCTATGGCTTCCTCATCCAAATCCTCATCCTCCCCGCCAAGATAACCAAATTCCACGTGTCACTGAGCGGTGTTCTCCAGTTTATTACTTCATCATGGAAAACAAATGCCGCCCGTTGCTCCTTCATGTATCCGCCTCTCCGCCAAGATAACCACAAACGAGCGACGTCAGCGCAGCGAGGTAAGTGCCGTTCAGCGCAAAGAAAATTAAATTTTGTGGTAGCGTACCGGGCTACGTCCAGGGCAAAGAGGATTTGTGGGAGCGCAGCAGGGAGACTTCTCCAGAATGGGTAATCTGCCCTGCCAATAAAAAGCCAAAATGCAAAGAATGGAAAGAACACTCAGCATCATCATTTAAATAAAATAAAAAAAAGGACGAGAATGGGGATTCAGCTGGACGCACTGCGGAAAAAAAAAAGAAGTTAAAAAAAAAAAAAGGCTCGATGCATTCCCCAGCCCTTCCTGATTTGTTTGTCATATGAAAAAAGAACATGAAACAAACCTAAAGATGCGATAACCTAAATGTAAAAAAGAAAAATCTTACCTTATTCAAGGAGTCAATTGATTATTTACTAGGTAAGGTTCTAGACTACGCAACGAGCAGATATAATCAATTACATCTTTTTTTTTTTTTTTTTTAATCAATTACATCTAATTGTGTTAGAGAACAAAAAAGATCTTCACAAAGAATAATTCATTTAATAGAATGCTAAGTGATCAGTGATTTATAAAATAAGAAATAAATAACTGTATTTTTATGAAAAAAAATATATCCATTTATAGATCAAGTTTTTGAATACTAGATTATAATACAATTAAAAAAACGATCTAATAAAAACATATGCAACGAAAACATATATAAAAATATTCACAATATCAATAACAGAAAGATTTTACAAAATAACAATATAAAACGATACCAAAAAAAGACCGGCTACTTGGCTCGCCCGGCCGTGCTGCTTGGGCAAGTTGGGGGGGGGCTCACCTGCCCGGTGCAACCCCGTGTAGAAAACAATTCAGCCTTGTTTTTTTTCTTTGGGGGGGTGTTGAGGGTGTTGAGGGCTTTCTGAGAATGCCAACCAAGTCAATTGGGCCTTTCTCAATGCGAGTATGGAAAAGATGGGAGTGGGCCCAAACTTTAGAAAGTGGGTATGTATTCTGTATATAATGATGCTACAGGCTGCGTTCAAGTCTGACTCAATGGTCTGCTATCCGGCTGTTACCCAATTTCACGATCAGTTCGCCAACTTGAAGGGGATCTGTTAGCTCCTCCAATCTAAGACTTTCTCTTTGTGATGGAGGCAATAGCCTAATTGCTACGCAAAGACCGATCCATACACAGGCTACCAGACATCAATGTGGGAACATCTCACCACATACAATTTCCAACAATAATAATGTTTGCAGATGATATCTCGGTCCTCTTACGAGCTTCAGATTCATCCTTCAGCGCATTACTAAGAGCAATGGAAGCGTTCCGACGGGCATCTGAAATAAAAATTGACTGGAAAAACAAAAACAAAAAACCAATCGGGGTGGTGGCTATCGCAGGAAGAAGCTCCTCAGCTCCAGGATCCGACCCGGAAGCAGCCACGACATGGGAGACACGTGGGACCCCTACGCAATACCCAGGCATCTTGCTAACAAAAGTCTTACTAGAGGGCTTTGCCCCTCAAATGGCAGAGAGAATATAGTACTATCCAAGCAAATCAACAAGCTGCAAGGGTGAGGGAACTTTAAAACGTTTACATCCTTGCTGGGTTGTGCACTAGCCATCAACACAGCTATTTTTGCAATGTTGTGGTATAATTATAATATAGCCTCAATCAATCAAGGAGAGTTCCGGATCATACAATCAAGGACCTTTAAACCACTAGTATCTTTGGCGTCCGGTTTCGACAAGTTCTTGCCAGCTCCCGAACTTTCAGGAGGCCAAGCCCGACGTTGATCAATCTGATCGGCAGCCGTCGTTTCGTTTCGGTCTCCTGAAAGGTCGGAGGCCGAGTATTTTCGAACCGACAAAGGCACTAGTGGTTTAACCCCAAAGCAAGAGGTTAGTACCTGAGGTCGGGGGACCCCAACAAAGAGAACTGTATACCAAAGATAGCATGGCATTAGTGTACCATTACAAGGAAACCAGCCAGAGGGGGCCTGGGTATCATAGACCCCAAACAAGAAACAAAAGCCTTACAAGTCAAATGGATAGTCAAACTGCTCACCAAACCAGGAACAACATGGAATAAACAGGCGCCAGATAGTATCAGAGGTTTAGCTCCGACAGCAACACCAGCGAATATGTCTGGTTTATTTTGGGTGATGAACATTGTCAAGGGGCAAAAAAAAATTAAAAAAAAAAATGGAATGGAGTCCAAACACCCGTAGAAATCAACGAAGAGGAGCTCGTCCAAATGAGGCCAGACCCCTTACACCCTATAGGACTGCGCTGCTTCGGATATCATGGTGGGAAATCATGCGGAAGAAGATGGGCACCCCCCCTAGTCCAAACAGGGGGCATTGAGGCAACCTTTATCCGGTAAGCCGTGGGTGAGAGACGAAAGCGACCACCCGCTTTCTCTTAAACCAAGAAGTATGCGATGGCTATCGCGGTTGAAACACGGAGTTTGGAAAGTAAGCCATCCATGGGAGATGAGTCAGATGACGAGAGAAAAGATTGGCTGATTGACAAGGAGCTTGCCACCCGCCTGAAGGGATGTCATCGGCGGAAGGAGAATCTGCAAACTGTCATCAAGTACATCCCCGAAGGCTGGAAGAAGCTGTTGAGCCAAGCGTCTAGTACTTGGAAACCTGGGGAATGGGGAGTCCAGGTGCAGGAATTGTCCCCCTCAAGAGCTTACTTGTACCAATTTTCGCATAAACGGCAGGCCGGAGTCGGAGACTCCGGCTGTTTTTACCTCCTTTCCAATCACGTCATCAGTTCACGGTTCCTCATCCATTCTGAATAATGACGCAGAAAGAACAGTCATAGAATCTGATCTGTTCTCCTTAGGAAACTAAGAGTCTTGGGGTCATGGCCCAAGACAATACTCGGACTGGATACGGCAATTCAGGATTTGGAATTTGGGCCCAGCAGAATGGGCCTGGACCCCACAAAGAAGGGAAATTTAAATCTCAAAACAAACATCCACACCCTGCACTACTCAGTCAAACTGGATTATAATC